GGAGAATGGTGAAAGTTCCGATGAGAAATGCATGCTGAGATAAATCACGCTATAACATTCTCTGGCATACTACCAACAATAAAACAGGAATCATAAGACCTAAACAGTTTACCTATGTTATGTTCATGTCTGGAACTAAAGCTTATAGACTAAACTTTCGAAAAATTAAGCATAAGTTAGTTCTCAGAAAATCGTTCATTCGGGAACTGTCTGAGGAAGAAGAGATAGCAGTGGTAGCTTTCACATCAATAGCATGTCTGACAAAACTGATACCAGTTGAAGATGATAAGTCATAGAGAAAGGAAGAGGAAAGATTAATGGAAAGAATGGTACCTTGGAGAACCCTGGTATATTATTTTCTTTCAAAAAAATAGGAATGCAGCCAGTGGATTATCTAGGACTCAGTATGTGTTCCAGCTAGCCTGTCCAACAAATAGGTCTTTGGATCAAATCTAATTCTGAAATTTAGTCTAAAAAGTTAATTAAAGGTAATTAGTAAAGCAAAACAACATGAATTCGAAAAGTTCTGTGAATAATTATTGTACAAAAAATGTCTTCCACTATAAAGTATATTAGGATAGCTTCAGAGTATCTCAAAAAATTGTAAACAAACAAAATAACCGTACAATGAGATTTAAATATGCCTTTGCTAACAAAGACACTTAAACTGTGAAATTCATGAGTTAGTTTAAAACTTCATAGCCAAGCATGATTTCATGCCTGGACTGACATGAGTTAGAGGAATATTGTAACCCTGGAAGCACTAGGGAGCTGTTTCGTTCCACCAGTATGAGACACGTCAGCAGTAGGCACCCATGATCCCTTCCCGACAGGAATCGAACCCAGGAATCAAAACCCGTGGTAACGTCCCGTTCACGAAACCTGAAGGTCCGAGGTTCCACCTCTGCCGAGGCGAGGTCATGCGTGTACACTTCTGAGGAGTCCTACAGTAGTGAAACGGAACATCTGTCCGGTCCTCCCATGGTTCCAGTGTTCCTCCAACTGAATAGCAACTTGAAAAATCACCAAATCTGAACAAACCTCCAAATTTAAAACAATTATTAACCAGATTTTTCTATGCTTCTCCCATGTTATTCTAATAAAACTATAAGTTTTCTGTTAGCACTTTCACATAATTATTAGTAAAAGTATTCTAGGTTTTTCACATTTTGGCGATTTTATGATGACATATCTACTCCAATTCTGAACTTGTGCTAAATTCAGGTCATCATTATTTAAACTAATTACTTACCTGAGACAATACGACATTGCAGATGAATGCCAGTAAACATGAAACATTGAACTTTTCCATTTCATATTATTATATATTGTTTATTTGACCTCTGAGTTCCTAGTGAAACATACCACTTCAGTATCACGTCGCCATTCCACTCTCTTCTCTGCAGTCTTTTCAACCTGGCTCCACCACTGCCCACAAGCTTTCATTTCTTCCTCACACGTTCTCCTGCATGTCACCCTCGCCTTCATGCCCTACCCGTCGTTTCCCATTTGGGTTCCAGTCGAGGACCTGGCGTGTGATGCATCCAAATGGTTTTCTCAGTGCATGCTTAATCCGCCTTCACTTTGTTGGGTGATAGGTTCTCGGTTGGTTCTTTGCCAGCCACAGTCAGTTCCTTCTTGCTTATTCTTATTATTCTGGCCATCTCATCGATCTTCAGTATTGAGCGAGTGTGGGCAGCAGCTGTTGACGTATGTCTGTAGTTTTTTGGAAATGCTTTTCGTAACGCGCCACGTTTCTGAACCATCACAAAGAAGCACTGACTTGACTGACACTAGTGTTGAAAACTCACATCTTGTTCTTTAGGCTGAGTGCCATGTGGTGAAGTAGATATCCACACTGATTAATGAGGGCTTGTCATGTTTCTGATTGTGGCTTTGACATCCTCATGTGTGCCACCACCTGTAGTCGAAACGATTCTGCCTAGGTGGGTAGGTAGGTGAAACAGACAACTTCCATAAGATTACTTCATATGATGGTGAGTGGTGCTTGTTGTTGTTGATGTTGGGTATCTTCATCACCCTTAAAGAAATCGATTTCTTAGCTGCAGAACATGGTGAGAAGTTACTGAAATATAAATTCTTCATTCACATAGGAAGCTAAGCTAAGCACAGTATACACACTTCCTCAGCATTGCAACAATGAAACATAAACCAAATGCCATCAGATATTCACCATTTACAGTAAAGCATTCTCCATAGAGCGGAAAAAGTAGCTATAAGATCAACTAGGCTTTAACTTTGTACTCGCAAAGAACATGGCCAAACCCAAGTAAAGGTAAAGAGTGGAATGTAATTTAGAGTGGATCAAGTAAGAGTTTTTGTAGTGATGATGTTTACTTGTAGGCGTCAAACACAAAGGTGATGGAGACTAATCTATCGGTAGTTATAGTAATCACTAATAAATTTGTATTGTTGCTATATGTAATCATAATAATTTTAATCGTTCAACATCGAATTTCTGGAGGAAAATGGATCGTTAGTTATTATATCAGGGAGAAAGTAAATAAACCTTCGAAGACAGTTCTTATAATGATAGACACAATAATTCATATAGGCACAGTAAGGATTTCACTGCTATACGTTCTGTTACAGTATGAAGAGAATCCTGATTTTCACGTTGCCTATCTTTGATTAAAGTTAGAAAGGTAGTAAAATAAACACCTAAAACAAGGTAAAATGAAAAACTGATCGGCAAATTGAGCAGAGAAATATTTCTTTTTAATCAGATCTTCGTCATCCGCTCAATACTAATATTATAGAGGCTATATATTCAGTAATGTAATACAATTTTATATACTAAAAGTCAAATATGAATGAAGAATTTGTTTTTCAGTAACTTCTCATCAGATTGAATACTTATTAAATAAATTTGGTTAACATGTTAATCATAGCCAGAATTTCGTGTCGAAGGCACATAGAATTTGGTATGGAATTATAACTCAAATCTGAATCTTTAGGACTGTAGATGGTTGGTAGTGTAATTTATAAATATGTACGTGAATTTTGATGATACGTTGAGCGTAAACTTTGCCAATCGATTAGTGATCAGGCGTAGGGGAAAGGCAAAGTGGTAATAAAGTTCCAGGATGCACATTTTATTGGGTAAGTGAGTGATTAGTACAGAGAAAGATGACATGAATTTACCTAAGGGCAGCAATGAAGTGAATATGTCATCATACGATGGTTAAATAAATTATCGATGCATAGTGGCTATGAGTGAAATCCAGGAAACGCGTTTCGTCTTACTTGAGACTCGTTAGCTGGATGTACCTCCCTGCCAGTGGGTGATGTTATTTCCGTGTGAACTCGAGCACAGGACCGATCGCTTTAAACACCAGAGCGTTATCCAATATACCACTGAGCTGCGATAGACACTTCTTGTCAGATGGGTATAGTCTTAGCGTTATTATTTGTATGATACCGTCGTTCATTGGACCGAACTGATCAGTCTCTATTAGCATATGAGCTTCTGCGCAGATGCTTTTGATTCAATTATACATATTAGTGATGGATAGTGGCTAGCAGCGGAATAATATAAGTGGTATACAGTGGTATAATATAACCAATAACACTGAGATGGTTAATACGATAAACCACTTAGATAATTAGAGTAGTAAAAATGAGAAAAAATTTAACAGGAGTTTTAGGGGTTTACTATAATAAGAAGGTAGGAAATTCTGGTTAAAAATAATAGCATTCGTAATAATAATAGTAATAACTTCGTTTTTCATTTTTAAAAGAAAGAAAAGAAGAGAGCAGAGACGAAAAAGAAAGATTGAGACAGAAACAAAAGAGTCAAGGGAATACTGTTTAGTCAACTGAAGGAGTAGGCCTTGGACTTGTTCTTTTTGAGTAAGAAGTTAAAACCTAGTCGATCTTATAGCTACACTTTCCGCTCTATGGAGAATGCGTTAACTAATGCCACATGATAGAGTCTTCAGAACGCGGTGTGTCACAGTGAAAGCTGTGCTAGCATCTCTTTGACATCATCTATCTATCAGATATGCTAGTACATAGAACGTTCAATGAATTTGATCTCACCATTTACAAACCATGACGGTCAATGTTCTCGTATCCTAAGATGGATGTATCTAATAGTGCGCCCTATATAACTTGTTCCACAGGAACATTTGGATTATTGTGTGCATGATGATGGGCTGAAATTGGTTGAGGTGTCCTCAAGTCTCAGGTTGAACAATGGTTGACTATTATGGGATAGGTACAGATGTATTGAGTGAAACGTTGTATTGATTGCTGTGTATAGACGTTGTGCTAAACTTCCACTCTGAGTTTCTGGTTTAAATTGGAGATGCAGAAAGAGAGGTTTTATCTACACACTTGTTGATTCTTGTTTCTGAGTACTGTGAGGGATGTTTACTTTTACCAACTTCTCTGTATGTTTATTTTGTTTTAAAATATGCTGAAGGACTTGTAATTCTTTTTCGACATATTCTTTTGGGTAGATTGATGTTACTGTAAATGGTGAACATCTGATGGTACTTAGTTTATGTTTCGTTGATAGGAGGATGAGGAAGTGTGTACACTGAGCCTTGGTTTTCTTCCTATATACACTTTGTTTCAAGGAATCGCCGTCTTGTCGGTAGAAAGTCAAGGAAATGAAGAGGATTGTTACTTTCACGTTCATTTGTAAACTGAACTGCTGGAAGGACATTACTGAATTGGTTGAGGATCTAATCAAGAGGAATGTGTTTGCTATAGACTGAAAATGTATCCTTCATGTACCGACAATACAAATCTATGTTGGTAATGTCATTCTGAAATAGTTCGTTTTCTAATTTAGATAAAAACATACCTGCAAGTACAGAAGCTGGTGGAGATCTCATCGCTACACCGTCTATTTATTTGTAGTTTTGCTGTTGAATAAGGATTGAACATTAAGATAATGCTAATTCACTCCATCTATTTACATGTTTGTTCATTTAATTACCTTCAGGGATTCTTTTCTAACTCTTCTCCAGGTTTACAGGACAAAGAACTACAATTCGATATATGTCAAATATACAAGTCATCGGTATGCAAAAATGGTCAATGTATTCCGCGTGGTACTTCCTATGAGTGCATATGCAATGAAGGCTTTGAACCATCTGAAGATCGTAAAACTTGTCAGTGTAAGTTATTCCATTCAATATTTACACTACGTAGGTATTTTTTCGCCTAATATTCCATATTGCATAACGATTCAATTATTTTATGTAAGTCTTCAATTTAGTTTACAAAAGCAGGCTGTATTAATACATAAGTTAAAATATTTTTCTGCCTGTGTTCTTTGACTGGAATTAGTTAGTACAAAATTCATATGACAGTAGTAGTAGTAGTATTAATATCACCCTGTGAGTGACTATGACTCTCTCTCTTATACTTCGTTGGACATATCTGATATCTGCATATCGACCATAAGAGTGTCCATCAAAATCTGCAATATTTATATGAGAGGCATTCCAGTGCACCATAATATAACACAACATCTCAGACACAAATCACACATTTGCCAAAATAAATTCCCAAGAAAACACAGAAAAACACGTAGGCTTAAACCAACAATTACTCCCTCTCCTGTTTCCTTTTCTACACTCTGTTCCCCCCCCCTCTTCTCCCCTTGGTCTGGCACAGTTCATTCCTTATTTTCTTTTCTTTTTCTCATTTCTTTTTACTTCACTTTTCCTCCCTTTTTTCTTTTTTTTCCTTTCTTCCTTCCCTGTTTTCTTTTCCTCCATCCATCTTCACTATTCTTCCAGATTTCCAATTCCATATTCAATAACACCTGCAATTGTCAAATACAGGAGATAACTGAATATAACCCACCTATACTGTCCACAGTGTTAGACTTTACATATTTGGTTTAAAACTCAAAATAAATATGTTAATAGGCAGATAGCTTTCATAGTGACATTCCCAGGTTATTAACTCACAGAACCACATGTTGCGCGGTAAAGTGGATTGGTCACATAGGCTGTGGGCCAGGAAAGTCATTGATGTTAGAGGCATTGGTGAATACTGCTCGACCATAGTTACGTATATGACGGTGATCCTACACGTGGCACAGCTGAATCTAAACCAATACAACCTCATCCGATTGTTGACGAGATCCTCACCGGTCTCAGTCATGCGGATCTCGAAAGCAAGAAAGGACTTTTAACTCGTCAGGACTGCGGCCAGTTAATTAGCTATGGAAACAGTTCACCCAAGAAAGGTAAGAGAGTCCACCTTCCTAATTCCCGTATTTACTGATGCTTAAGCAATCCCAAGAGAGGTGTTTGGCGTTTACCTTTCGAGTACGAACGATATTCGGTTGCGAATGCCGGGTATCATTTGATGTAGCCGGACGCCAAACACCGAGAGGATTCCCGGGAGTTTGCTTCTGGTAGATAGAGGATAGGGGTTGTCACGTCAGAGGAGGTGTGAAACATCACCTTCAGCAAGATTGTGGATCAACAGCAAGATATATTCCACGCACATCTGTCCACGCAGAGGTGAGTGCGGTTAACAAGCCCACTATCCAATGAATGCAGATATGTTGAATCCTGACAGTTTAAAGAGAGGGATTCACTGAGAGAATAAAATTTGCGGGACCACCAACCAGAATTCTGTGACAGAAGTTTTCTTCTTCATGTGGAGTAGTTACTGAAGGATGTTCCTCCTTGTTGAGAGGACCGGCACCCCGAGTTGAGAGACGACAACATCAAGGCAAACGAATTTCCGGTCTGGAGCTGGGATTTGAGCCGAAAACTGGAGTAAAACCTTAACTTGTATCACTTTGAGATTCAACTACCAGTGATTCAAAATATCTTAAAGTACCAAAGCAAGAAGTGTATGCTTTACTTCACAACTCAAACTGACTGTCAGGAATTTTACTAGTCGACATCAACCATTTACCAGCCAACTGTCAATCATCTTCAAGGTTGAGAGAAGATCAGTAGGTGTACCGCAGATCAAAACCACCGAAGTCAGAGCAGGTTGACATATCTATTGACTAGATTGAACTGGATGGTTAGAATTTGATGATCAGCTTGTCCAGTGATAAATCCATGTCGCTGATTAATGAGAAGAAGGCTTCAAGTGCAATTACGGTCGAAAACCTATTGGCATTTTTGATCCTTCATTTCTAGTTTTCTACCATTTAGGAACTGGAACAAATCAAATCATTGTGAACTACACTTACCCTGTTATAGGCAGTCAGACATCGAGCTGGTTCTGTGTATGGCATAACCTGACATCTAGGAAACGAGTATTAACATTATGTGTCCTCATGTTTTACCAGTATAGAGTGAATCACATTGTTAAAGGTTCGAAAATTTGTGACCACTATTTATATACAACAAGTAACGTTTTACCATATATCTCGATGAATAATGTACAGTTTAAATTCAATTATATATATAATTGATTTTAGGATGGACTGAGTTGCAATAGGGTCTCCACTAGGCCCTGTTCTGGCTGATATCTTTATGGCAAAGCTCGAGAACGGACCCCTTAAAGAATTAATTTCGGAACTTTATTTGTGTAAAAGGTACATCGATGACACTTTCCTTATTTGCGACGGAAGATGTTAAGTGAACGAGCTGCTAAGACGTTTGAATAATTGTCACCCGCCCACTTAATTCACTGTAGAGGAAGAGTTAAACTCAACGTTCCACTTTCTAGACGTAACGTCAAAGAGAAGGAATGATGGCTTGATTCAAAGGTCAGTCTATCAAAAGCTAACTTGGACCAGCCAGTTCACTAATTTCAGTAGTTGGGTACCTCTTAGTTGTAAAAGGAATCTCATTGTGTTCAAGAATGGATAAAATATGTTCAGAAGACACAGTGGATGCTGAAATCGAAACTCTTACAACAACACTGTCTAACATCAGTTAACCTGAACGATTTATTGATAAGAGTCTGACGAACCACTTCTCATCCCATTATAGTCCCTAAGAAAATCTTAACCATGAATTTAGAATTCAAAGGAGGCACCACAGCCAAAGTGCTGAAAAATCGTCTGTCAAAGTGTTTCAATAGTAGCTTCTATGCGCCATCTGATTCGTCAATGCGTGATGGATAGGCTTTCACTTATGTCTACATCTATGTGTATCTACAAAATCACATACCCCTCTTCAGCTGACTGTATTGAACGTTGTGAGCGGATCCTCCGAAAACGTGTTTTTGCACATTACCCAGTTTGGCTTACCAAAGACGAGAGAAGAATAACAACTTCATTCATATGTGAATACCTAGTTGAGTTAGGTCATTCAGCACCTCTAGATTCATCCTTTAAAGTAATTTACAAAGCTGAATTGAACTACTCCAAAGGTTTACATTTCCACCACTTATGCATAAAGCTGAAGTATTAGCTATGCATGAACAATAGTCGAAACTTTGCATTCAAAAACGTTTTGTGAAACCACATTCTCTACCTTGGCCTTGTCAATTTCATTTCACTACACTTCACTTTGGTATACTTCTCTTTTATCATCATTATCACCAATTTTCACTTCATTGACAACACTTGACCCATACTTCACTACAATTTAGTATCAATTCACTCCTTATTCATTGACCTATTTCGCTTGTTTCAGCTAAATTATCACCGTTTTACAATTCTTTGACAGCGCTTATCTCTTATTATCTCATCACTTGTTATCATTTGAGTTCCTTATTCACAGTAACCCATTTTCTATTTCTTCCACTTGAACAAATACTGCCACCATCACCTACATCTATTGAATATTTTGTATATTGACTGAGAAACTTTTCTTAATGCAGATGATCTGTCATTTTACCGAGTAGAAGTACAACTGTACAGTTTGATACTGAATTTGTTGAAAAGAAATGCTTCTTCTCTGTGGATACATGCCTTGTTCTTATAAACTGTTCAGTTGATGTTCATGAGGATTCGATTACGCTTAAGAAAGTTAAACATTTACTCATGCGGATCATGATGATCAGCCTCTTAACTTAGTGACCATATTGCAAATATAATCAATAGGATTCGGTCTGCACTTAGGATTAGACAATATGAAATTGGTTACACTCCGGTAACTGCTGTTCAGCTAATTAACACTGAATGCAGATGAATATTGACTAATGGGGTTTCTTCTGTCATGATACACCTCCATATTATATGCCTTGAGCATTTACCGCAACTGATTGTAAATTTGCAAGATCTATATAGAAACTATCTTTTTGTTGGCATGTGTAAATTTGTAGATGAATTTGATGTTTGTCATTTTACTAGCGTAATAAATTTATAGTAATCCCCAAGTAGTTTTCCTTACTTCCGAATTGATTCTCTTAAAAAATTTCATGACTGTTGATATGCGTTTTAGAAGAATTCCTACTGCAAGTTGATAGTGAATATCTCCTAATTCAAAAATCTAGTCACTTTCCACCACCATATGATATGTAAGCTTAACTGCGACCGATAACAGTTATTACTGAACACCATGAGTGGCTTCCAAATGTTTGTTTTGTTCAGTAGTATATCTTAATAATTCATGACACTTCTGTGTCACAGATCACATTCTGCGGTACCGTCTTGTTAGGTTTTTAACATGAATCCTGTTGATATTATAGTTAGGCAGATGAAAAAAATGGACCATGTAGGTTTCGCCATTGGCTAATAAACTGTAGAAATCCATAAGTAATAACTCTAGGGAAACCAACTGACAACTGCTAGCAGTGATACAGATGCAATTTTAGGCTAATCTGTATCTACGTTTCGAAAGCTTTAATATATTATGTTTACTTATTATCATTTATCCTTCGGGTTCCTAGTAGAACATAGGGCTTCAGTAGCATGCTTCCATTCCAGTCTCTTCTCTGCAGTCTTTTCAACCTGGCGCCATGACTTCCCGCAAGCTTTCATTTCTTCCTCACATGATCTCATTCATGTCACCCTCAACTCCAACTCCCAACTCGTCGTTTCCTTTTTGGATTCTACTCGACGGCCTGGCGCATGATGTCCCCAATCGGCCTACTCAGTGTATGTATGAATCAGTATTCCAGCTAGTTCTTTCACTGTTCTCTCGTGTTAAATTTAATCTGTCGTGGTGTATGACACATTAAATCTAAAATTGATGTTTTATTACCTCAAATTGTATCCTTTGTATATCTATCCATTCAGTTATTA